ACTTGCAAGGTACATTAGTGCTCCAATTGCACTAAGATACGGTACTTCAGGACCAAGAATTTCTTCATCATTTTCTCGAGGTCAGAATGTATCTTTCTCTACTTCAAGTGATCTTACAACCATAGGGCTGCTCAATGGATGTGCTGTATCCAAAGAAAATCTTTTAAGAACCTTTTCTATGTATGTTGATTGATGCACAAGGATTCCATTTTCTAGGTGCTCTATTTGTAACCCCAAGCAGAATTTTGTCTTTCCTAGATCTTTCATTTCAAACTCTTTCTTTAAATAATTGACAGTCACTGAAATCTCTTCAAGAGTTCCAATGATATTCAAATCATCAACATACACTGCAATTATAACAAATCCTAATCCAAATTTCTTTATAAAAATACATGGGCTGATAGGATCATTCTTATAACCTTCTTTCAACAAATACTCACTTAGACGGTTATACCACATACGCCCAGATTGTTTCAATCCATAAAGAGATTTGTTCAATTTAATACAAAAATGTTCTCGAGAACTAGATTTTGCTGCTTCCGGCAGCTTGAATCCTTCTGGGAGCTTCATGTAAATGTCATTATCCAGTGGGCCATATAAATAAGCTGTGACTACATCCATCAAACGTAAGTCAAGTCCTTCTCTTATTGCCAGACTAATCAAAAATCTAAAAGTAGTTGCATCCACCACAGGAGAATATGTCTCCACATAATCAATACCAGGTCTTTGTGAGAATCCTTGTGCAACTAAGCGTGCCTTATATCTTACAACTTCACCCTTTTCATTTCTCTTTCGCACAAAGACCCATTTATATCCCACTGGCTTTACACCTTCAGGTGTACGGACCGCAGGTCCGAATACTTCTCTTTTTCCAAGAGATTTTAATTCTGCTTCAATTGCTTCTTTCCATTTTGGCCAATTATTTCTTTGTCTACATTCTTCAATGGATTTTGGTTCATGATCCTCATTATTATCCATAACATCTAATGCTACATTGCATGCAAAAACATCATCGACGTCGATTTGATTTCGGTTCCATGTAATTCCAGACATGATATAATTTATTTAAATTTCTTCATTATCAAGTACCTGAATTTCTTCTTGTATCATGTCTAAAGTCTCTTCTGGAGATCCTTCGGAAATTGTTTCTTCAATTTGACCATCATCAATCAATGCTCCTTTTCTTTTCCGAGGATTCTTATCTTTGGAACCTATTGGTCTTCCACGTTTTTGGCGTGGTTTAGACTCATTAGCAATTTTATTTTGTCCTTCCGGGACATCTACTTTAAATGGAGCATTAACAGCTGGAATATGTGACTTGGTCACTCTTTTTGGGTCAGCAAACGAGTCTGGTAATTGATTCGCCAAACTTTGTAAATGAATTATCTTTTGAACTTCCAGTTCACATTGTTTAGTTCGAGGATCAAGATAGGATAATGATAATTCATTCCATTTAATTTTATTTTCCAGCTTTCTCTTTTCTCCCCCTAATGTTGGGAAAAGTGACTCGTTAAAATGACAATCTGCAAAACGAGCCGTAAATAAATCCCCTGTTGTAGGCTCAAGATATTTAATTATTGACGGGGATTCAAACCCAACATATATCCCCATCCTCCTTTGAGGACCCATCTTAGTGCGTTGTGTAAACCGCACATCCAAAAATTCTTAGATGGGAAATATTTGGTTCCTAACCATAAACCAATTGTAATGGGGAGAACTTGTGATAACTTGTTGGCCTAATGCGAATTAGTGCTGTTGCATGTAATATAGCATGTCCCCAAGCAGAAATTGGGAGATTGGATTTCATAAGCAATGGTCTAGCAATTAACTGAATACTTTTTATTAATGACTCTGCTGGACCGTTTTGTGTATGAACATGTGCTACAGGATGTTCAACATTTATCCCAATGGACATGCAATAATAATTAAAAGCTTGAGATGTAAATTCACCAGCATTGTCAAGCCGAATAGTCTTAATGGGAGTATCTGGAAAATGTGCCCGTAACTTAATCAATTGGGCAAGTAATCTCGCAAACGCCAGGTTACGAGTTGATAATAAAGACACATGTGACCATCTAGTTGATGCATCAATTAAAACCATAAAATATCTAAATGGTCCACATGGGGGATGTATGGGCCCACAAATATCTCCTTGTATACGTTCCACAAACCACTAGAGAATGTAGGTAGTTTCTCCAAAACATGTTTTGAGCCTTGAGTTATATTTATGATTTGAAGGAATTCGTTATTTTCTTCATTGATTGTCTCAATATGATAACCATTGTTGCGAATATCCTTAAAACTTAATAAATTTCTTTGAGACAATGGGGATTATAAAGCATCAATTATTTTAATTTCAGTTCCCCAAGGCAACTTTATAGTGGCTCTTCCGGAGCCCTCAATGATATTTGTACTACCCGATATGGTACTTACATTAATCCTTTTCATCATCAAATGAGAGAAATATTTTTTATTTTTAAGTATTGTATGTGTAGTTGCACTGTCAGCAAGACATAATTCTTCACCATTCATAGCAAATTGAACTTGAGTAATATCCATGTTCTTCATGAAATAAAATACATGTCAAAATATTAAGCATAAAAATAAAGATGATAAAACAAATAAATCAATAAAAACACTCAAATAGTTCATAAATTTATAAAGCAAAAATCCTTATTACAACGAAAGAAATAAACTTAAATAAATCACTAGAATATGCAAACATAAGTCTAATACTTAAAACTGACTGATGGGCGTTAGAACGGTCGTACATTCCACACTCAATCAAACACATTTATTAACAAACACCTTACAAACCAAGCATAATGACAAGTAAGAGTTCGGTCCACAAGGAACAGGATATGATTGCCAAAGATCTTTACACTTAAGCTAACTCGAAGTCAATTGGTGAATTGGGGTTCGTCAAGAAGACAAACAAACTATGGTTCTAAATCAATGAATTAAAGATACTAGGGAATGAGATCCACTCAACCAAGGCAAATAGGCAAACGGGGAGTAAAATAGACAAGATATAGCAAGGACTATATGTAAAATCAACCTCATGCAATTAGAAAACAACTCACACTACTAAACTTAGATTCCTCATTAGTTTAGCAATAGATGATACATAATCAAATTACAATAAGTAATGACGTACTCAATTTACACTTCCATGTCAAATTAGGCATATCATACTATCAAGCTCCTTAGTCAAGGGTAGCTAAACCTATCATGAGGAACTAACAAGCAATCTCATATAATCAATTTAATTGCAATACAAACATCAATGCTTCTCCCACATTTGCATAGTTAACCCAAAAGGTCGAGCTTCACCCAACCCCTAGCAAGAAAACTACTCACAACTCATGTTTATCAACATGCAATCAAGAATTAGGGTTCTAAATACTTCAATAATTGGGGAAAAGTGGTTAACAATTGAAATAACTATCATCCAATAACAAATTACCAAGAACTAAGAAGATTTAAATAACATGCAAATACCAAATAAAATCTGAAATTAAAAGGAAGAAGGTTGGAGAAATTACTAATTGAAGCTTCAAATGTTGAATACAAATTGCCAAACTTTGAGAATAATTCTTGAATTTCACTAATACAATGATTTGATTTGATGAAAACTAAGCTAAATTAATCCTAAGGAATGTTTCAAACTAAGAGAGGTTTCTGAAAACTAGGCTACTGTCCTCCTTCTCCCTCTTTTTTAAACGATCTCAAAAGGACCTTAAATAGTCCGTACAAAATTGGCTGAGATCGGGAAAAGGTCCGACCGAACTCTGGGTAGGTTCGGTCGGACTCAGGGTAGGTTCGGTCGAACCCTGTGTAGGTCCGGTCGAACCTCCCTGATCCTTGTTTGGTCGAACTTTTGAGGTTCGACCTCTCCTGCAAAATTGCTGAAAACAGGTTTGACACTGCCTTCACTGCACCCTGGAGGTTCGGTCAAACTTTTCAAAAGTTTGACCACACCAAGGTTCGACCGGACCTTTCAGAGGTTCGGCCACACCTCCTCTTGCACTTCCTTTTCTTGCTTCCTCTCCTTCCCTTTTGCTCCTCTTGCCTTTGTCCATGGCTTCCATGCTTGGCCAAGGGGCCTCCCACCGTGCATAGGATCGTCACGGAACCTGCAGAAGATACCAAAGTTCACGAGAGCATGGGGATGATAAAATAATGCATAAAGATTATCAAAATAAGCATTACTTTTCATCAACACAAAAAGAAGCCATAAGAGGATAATGAGGTGGAAAAACCTAAGAAAAATAAGAGGAAAAAGACCTAAATACTACCCCTAAGAGTGACATAAATGTCACTCATCAAACATAAAACAATATAATTTTAATTATTCCCTTCTGGGGCAGTGAAGAAATCGGCAACTTCTAAATGAGTTGTATTGCCAAATCAAAATTATTCCCTTCCGGGAAAGTAAGGAAATCACCAACATCAAATTGATTGGCATTTCCAAAATCAAAATCACCTTCACCATCTTCAAGAACAAGGTTTGCCTCAACTTTCTTTCCTTTCTTCAATGATTCTTGATAAAGTTCAATAAGATGCTTTGGAGTTCTACAAACCCGAGACCAATGACCTTTTCCTCCACAACGGTAACATATATTGTTATCACTTTTCTCTTTTTCATCCCTACGTTCCCACTTCTGGTGGGAATGTGAGTTTGTGAAATGACCTCCACGACCTCTACCATATCCACGTCCACGACCCCGGCCGCGCCATTGGCCACAACCACGACCTCTACCTCGACCACTACTGCTGGAATGGTCTCTGTTTTTAATTTCTTTCCCGTTATGGGTTGTCACATTCGCTTCAAGGAATGGAGTAGAGCCAGTAGGACGTGATTCATGATTTTTCATTAACAACTCGTTATTTTGCTCAGCCACAAGAAGACAAGATATTAATTCAGAATATTTTTTAAAACCTTTTTCTCTATATTGTGTCTGCAGGACAATATTATTAGCATGGAAAGTGGATTATGTCTATTCAAGCATTTCTGCATCAGTAATATTTTCTCCACATAATTTCAATTGAGAAGTTATTTTAAACATAGCTGAGTTATATTCACTAACAGATTTAAAATCTTGCAATATCAAATTTAACCATTCATAACGAGCTCTAGGGAGTATCACTGTTTTGTTGGTGGTCATACCTTTCCTTTAGATTACTCCAAAGGATTTGTGGGTCTTTCACAGTTAAATATTCATTTTTGAGCCCTTCATGAAGGTGATGGCGAAGAAAAATCATGGCTTTAGCCTTATCTTGAGCTGTTGCCTTATTAACCTCTTTTATTGTTTCACCAAGCCCTTTAGCATCTAGGTGTATTTCAGCATCTAACACCCATGATAAATAATTCTTTCCGGTAATATCAAGGGCCACAAATTCGAGCTTGGCAAGGTTCGACATTTTTCACTTAAATTATATATCATGCTCTGTATTCGTTATATATGTTGGTATTCCAATAAATAAGCATGCAAAAGTAGATAAATATTAAATTATAATTGTTATGGGCTGCGATCATACTTACATGATAATAATAATATGGGATTCTAGATAAATGTTTGGTAATCCTACTCAGTTGACTAGCAATGGTGCTGATAACGTATTAAATATGGAAGAGAAAATAAAAAGAGATGAGGGAAGATTGTTACGTTGCATTTCATATTCCATCTAGTACGGGATATATATAATGTACATTTCCTAGGATTCCATCAATGAAAAGACCAGATACCCAACTCTAGAATATTCTAGATTGTACATGGGATAATAGTCATCCATATTTAGATATTATCATAACAATTTTAATTTAATAATGTAATATTCCAAATTCCAAACTAGAAGATCTAACCAAAAAATATCTGTTATACTCACAATGTCCCACCAATTATTTCGTGCATTTTTATAGAGTACTCCCCTTTCAGCTTTACAAACAAAGAAGAAAGATCCCCTCTTTTTGCTGTCGCTTTTATCTTTTGCATTTTTTATAATTTTGCAATGAATTGTCTTCAGAATTTTCCCAGGTAACGGTTTTAGTCGTTAATCTTACAATTTTAAATTATTGTTCTTGTTTTTGCTTATCATTCAATATTATTTATTTATATGTTGGTATTTTGGGTTATAATCAGGCTTTATGCTTTGCCATCTGAATTCTTCAAACCCCATGAAATTAAACCTTCAAGCTTTGTTCATATGTTGGTATGCTCTTCCCCTCTTTCAAATTTGTGTAATAATTTGTTGATGATTTTAAATTTTCAATATATTTGTGTGTTAATTTGTTTTGGGGTGGAATATGTAGCCTGTGATGAATGCTAATGATCTGGATATTCGCCAGAGTGTGGCTGTAAAGGTTAGTAATGACCTCTTGTTTCGACATTTTGATTTTCGGATTTAAATTTTCGAGTTGTAATGTGCTATGAGTTTGTCCATTTTATTGCTGAATTTTGTTGTTTGATTTGATTGTGTTGAGAATATATCATGTGGGTCTAGTCATTGTTGAGCTCTCAATTAAGAAAAGATAGTACTAATTTTTGGTGTCTTTGTTAGTGATAAATGGAATGGAAGTTGTGGCTGCATGTTGTTTAATACAATTCATGTAACTAGTTAGTTTTAGGACATTCTACTTGTGTTTAGTGAATTTGTATACATCATGATATAAAGGATAGTGTCAATGTTACTATGCAGGCAGTTTCTGGCTCAAAATCCAGCAGTGAGATGAGCGAGGTTGCGGAGGAGAAGAAATCAGATGTATACAGTGATACCATGACAGAAGCAATGGGTGCTTGTAAGTCCGAACTTTCCTAGGTTTCAATGAATTATAACGATGAGCTATTACACTGTCTTATTTCTGTTATTCTGTATATGAAGAGCGTTGCTTTTTCGTTTGTTGCCTTTTGGTGTCTGAGGTATCTCCTTTGCCAGTGTTATTTATCTATTCTAACTTTTAATCCGCAGCTCTGACTTACAGGCATGAATTAGGGATAAATTATAATTTTATTCGGCCAGACTTGATTGTCGGTTCATGCCTACAGGTATGTATCTTCTGCCTGTAGTTGGTTCTATGCCTTGAAAACTTTTTCTTCTATAACGCATTATCTCAAATGCAGAGTCCTGCAGATGTTGACAAACTTCGAAATATTGGTGTTAAAACAATTTTCTGTCTCCAACAAGATCCAGATTTAGAGTATCCTCTATTGGTGTATACGAGTCTTCTGGTGGCTTAAATTTGCAAACATTGAACCAAAAAATATATTGAATCCTTGTATATATGTTTGCTGTTTATTTTTTTCTGACATAAATACTCTTAATGATTTCTTAACTTCTTTTAGATATTTTGGAGTTGATATCAAAGCTATTCAGAAGTATGCAGAAAAATATATTGATATAGAACATATCCGTGCTGAAATAAGGTTGTTGATGAGTTGATCTATCCTTTGTAGTTCTTTACTGCCTCTTGAATCTCGAGCATTTGCAAGCCATACCTTCAGTGGCTATAATAGACAAATGTCAAAATTTTCTTTTGCTCCCATGTTCTATACTCAAAACTTCGACATTGGGTATTTATTTGGACAATCTTGTTTAGGCCAAAATCTGGTAGAGTATGCTTTCAAATGGGGTGGTAAGAGTAGGTGGGTTGATGAAGTACAGGATGGGTCAATACGAGGTGGAAAAGCTTATAAATACACCACCTACTTGGTACCCATGACGGTTGTGACTTTTGACAGCCACACCTGTCCACTTCCTGTCAAAGTCATGCCCTTACTTGCTCCATCTGGGCTGGTGGCGCAGAATATACCAAATTGCCATCTTACTTTAAATCCTTGTGCCCAGATCATAAACAAGGAGTTAAAAGGAAGGATGTCTTTGGCTTGCAATGGCTTAAAACATTTGATTTTCTCTCAAGACTTTGGCTTCAAATTTCGTTCATAAATTTAAGTTTTTTATATTGATCAAGGAAAAGTTCATTTAAAGTGGAGGTGTCGGTTTATGGTAACAGCAGTGTTTCAGTTTTAATTCTGTATGGTATAAAACGCTTGTGTTAAAAATTGACATGAACGGTGTAATAATGCCATATTATTAAAACTTAGCTTGTTGGTGATGCATGTTGAGTGCTTCTTGTTTAGATAGGAAAGGTGTGTTGCACTGTACATATTAACCTCTCTGCACAATCCATGCAGCGAGTTTCACACTTGGTGGTAGTGTTCTTTCGTTAAGGCTGTTCTATCTAAAGATTAAGGCATTACCATTAAGTTTCACATGCCCTGTCATGTTGGTTAGCCCTTTTGAAGAATTTTGGATTAAAAATTTTAATATGACAGGGACTTTGATGGGTTTGATTTACGGATGAGGCTTCCAGCTGTGGTGAGCAAGTTATATAAGGCTATGAACCGAAATGGAGGCATTGCCTACATACATTGTACTGCTGGAATGGGTAGAGCTCCTGCTGTTGCGGTATGCTCTATATCACTTTTGTTCTCTATCGTCTACTTGTGTTTGTCATTTTGTTTTTTCATGTCTACTTTTGTTCAACTGTTTCATTTTCCTATTCAAACCCCTGTTTCTTCATTTGGATTTACTGCTGAAATTTTTTGCTAATAATGGATGGTCAAAGTATAAAAATGTTTATGAAGTTCTATTAGTTGGTCTACCAATTTATCCTGTCCTTATTGTAAGTGATGTATATTATTTCTTATTAGGTTTTTTTTCATGAAACATAGTCAATGTTTAATCAAATGGGGGATACTTTCTAGATATTTGTAATGAACTGACTTTGCAACACAAGAGATAAGAACAAATAAAACAGGAAATAGCTGAAAGATTCAAGTTTTCATTAATCCCAGCCAAAAGGTTGTCTTGATAACTTGAGGTTATCACTCTCAAGAGGTAAATTCAGGATACCAAACTCTCATTAAGGTCTCAATACTCAACATAACATCAAAGCTAAACCTTTTTCATTATATATACAAAACATACTACCAAAAGTACTACAATCCATAATTGCTAATTAGTCTTCACTAGCTGACCACGGTCACAGCAGAGCAGAGCAGTCCCTCCTCCTACCATGTTGCTTGCCCCCTTGGTGGAATATTAATGACTGTTGTTTGCTTGTTGCTGGTCCCCTGTTGCCAAGTCCCGGTTCTTCTCCATCCTAGTGTACACCTTCAGTGGTGGCTGTACGGTCTGCTGCTGATTCATCACAATATTTTCTTTCTGAACTTTTTTTTCCTTGTATAATTTAGCTTACAAAAAAGGTAACAAATCATGACAATCAAAGAACAATAGGGCGATACTGTGGCTTTTTTTTACCTACTATGGTTGATATTAATACTTCTTTAGTTAAGATAGAACAATCTGACAATACAAGAAGTTCACACAATTAGAATTGGACTGTTTTGATGAAGCCCAAATATAATGATATTTTAATTCTACTGTATGAGGTTAGATTTGATTTGGTGACCTGAAGTTTCTGTATGATTACTTAAAATTTTGGTAAACTGTTGGAATCTTTTGACTATATTACTAAACAAGATATAGGCAGCCTTTACTATATATTACATTATTTTCATCTCGTAGCCACGCAATATTGTCGAGGAACTGCCTTTACTTTTTTTTTTTTCGCCACAAAATCAGCCTCTGAGTTTGTTTATCTTAATTCGTAAAATAGATGTCAATTGTGTTAGCAAGGTAAACTGTGTCTGCCGGAGGATGTCTGAGCTTATAGTGCTCGCTGACATTGTGGATATGTGCTTGTGTGCACGCGGGTCATGGAACTTCATTGAAACTGAAGTTATGGCTTCAAAATTTTTGGGTCTACAGTTATATTCCACTGCTCAAGATCACATAAAAGTGGATTTTGGCATCCCAAACTTAATCTCATTGTAGATTATCTGGCAATTTTTTCTTAGACCTTGAAATTGATGTAATGATGGCAAAAATGAGAAAGGGGAAAGAAGACTCAGTAATGGTGATAATGATAGGGGGTAAAAAAGACTCCTCATTTGAAGTGAAATATTTATATACAACTTTTGGACCCAGAGCAGAGAAAAGGGAGGGTGGGGAGAGGGTGGAAGGAGAATGAGGTTTTAGGGGGAAAATTATACTGCATACAGAACGTGATATTATTGGCATTAACATTTCCAAGCCCAAAACCAATATTATGGTATTCAAAAATTATGGAGTCTGGAAACTAAAAATGGTGCTTTATACCTACACATTTTGCCAATAGATCACTATCAACACAAATAAAATACATGTATTATATTTGTGTGAATTTATTTTATTTATTTATTTATTATTATTTTTTTTAACTTTAATCGGTACCGCACCTTGAAACTAGAGATGCATTTATTTGGTCTATTTATAGTCTTAATTTCTGGCAGATAAACAGGAAAAAGATGAAACACTTTGCTTTACTTTATTTGCTTCATTTTTGCCAATTGCACTTATCGTGCTATAACCTAACATTCATGACTGAATTGCAGTTAGCCTACATGTATTGTGTTCAAGGATATAGGCTAAATGAAGCCCACAGGTTATTGCTGGTACGTGTGCATTCTTTCAATTATTCATTTGTGCTGCATGGATCAATCTATTATTTGTCAATGTTGTTTGATTTGGCACCATTCATTTACCAAGGGAGTAAGGCATTTGATGTTTTGATCTAAACTCTTACTAATTTTTTTTTTAAAGTCGAAAAAAAAGGATTTCATGCCCTTGAGTGCTGCCGCCTTACCAATTTTATGTGATATACTCTAAGAAACCACTTGAAATTTTTAAATGATAAAAGAAGACTGATATTGCTAAATTTGTATAGACATACAAGGTATTTCCAATCCTTTTTCCAGTACTGTAACTGGTCCTGGATTTTTTTTTTTTTTTTTTCACGACACAGCATGTTGGTATTTGGCAAATACAAATATGCCATAGAAGCCAAGACAACAAATTGTTTATGCCTTTAGGGTCCAAAGTCTCCAGACTTAATGTGCTAACCAAGTCTCAGAGAAATTCAATGTACATGGTGCCTGTGCAAGAGCTTTAGTACTTTGTATTTTCTATAGCAGTTTTGGAATATTACTATCATACAAGCAAAGTTTATGATTTAAAGGAAGCTCATATTTCCTCCTGGTTCTTGGGATAATATGTCCCAGTCTGCAGTCTTAATAAGCCAAAAAGAAGTGAAGATGGTGTATCTCTGAACTCTAGTGAGAACAGCATCATTGTGTTTTTGCTAATCTTCCTATCTGTGAAGTGAGGAAGCAGTAACAACAATGTAGATATATGTAGGAAGGTTGAAACAGGCAGTAGTCGAGCTACTATAAAAGCTGTTAATCCATCTCTCGCTGATGCTTTCTGTAGATTACATATTGATAACATGTGTTATTTGGTGGGAAACTTTCCTTTAGCTCTCCTAGGTATTTGCAACTTATGTTAGAGTTGCATCTTTTGACTTCTGGTATACATTGACTAGAGTCAAACTCACAACTCCATGGTTTAATACTTTAATGCAAAATTTTATGTACTAGCAATCAATTTCACATAATTATAACATGTTAAACTAATTTGTTTTTTGTCAGCAACTTCAAAAGATTCTATACTTCCAATGGTTTTACCTGTCAATTATCCAACCATTTGGTGTAATGTAAATATGGGTTATGGTTATGCCTGTTCTCTTATCTTTTGGTAAATTTATATGTTCTGCTGGATGCACAGATACAAGGTTCCCTACTGATAACCTTTTCATATAAAGAATCAACATTCATTTTGTTTACCCATTTCCTAACTAGAGTAATCTGTGAATCTGAGACAGCTATATTTCTAATTTTTGATTGAAACTGGCCAACATTATTTAGATAAAGGTGTGTGTATGTGTTTTATTTATTTTATTTTTTGTTATAAATTACATTTAAAGATAATGAAATATTTACTTACAAAATACAACCTGCAAAGCATAAGTAAACCGATATCTTACCCTCCTCCATCCCCCCCCAACCCCCAATTTCTCATTTTGGATGTCCCGTTGAGTTCCTTCCATATTATAAGTGGGTATAAGGGACAAATACATTTCTCTCAGTCTCTCACAAACTTCATTTTTGGTCCCACCAACCAACCTGCCTTGCTTTTCTCTTAAACAAAGTGAACTTGGTGCTATCTTTGTGGGACAGAGAGTACATTAATATGGTGTTATGGGGAAATCTTTCGGGACAGAGTGAGTGTATCAGTTGTGTGTGTGTGTGTGTGTGTGTGTGTGTATGGGTTAGCCCATACTTTGCAAAGGGGAGATTGATTTATATACCCAGTAGGTATTCTACCCTTGTTAAATACTTCCTCCGTTTCTATTTAGTTGACGCGTTTGATTTAGACACATATATTTAGGAGAGGAGAGAGAGTGAGAGAGAATGAAAAAGTAAGTGGGGTACCTTGTAAATGCAAGGTAAAAAATTTACCCCAAAAAGAAACGTGTCAACTAAAAAAAACTTCCTAAAAAGGAATACGTGTCAACTAAAAAGAAACAGAGGTAGTATATGCTAAAATTAGTTTGTGTTTTGGGTTGGACTACTCTATCAGCTACAGGTATATATTTATTAGCTATCACCTTTTTTTAATGCTGTCTAAGATGGTAAATCTTATTGCTGATCTTTTCTTGCAGAGCAAACGTTCTTGTTGCCCTAAATTGGATGCTATTAAAAGTGCAACAGCTGACATTGTGAGTTGTTTATTTGCAGACTTCATCTTTACAGTTCCTTTTGTATATTCTCATTTAGCCTCCAATTGATTTGGCAAAATCTTCTTTTTTTTTTTTTTTTTTTTTTTCTATCTCCTTGAAGGTTGCATTTAGTGTTTATATATGCCCTTTAGGGAGGAGAGAGTTCATAGTGTATTTGGATGGTATGTATAGTACGTAGTGTTTTTTCTGATTAATAACATATTACTAGTTATCCTCCAAACTATAAATAAGTGAAAAATTTTATTGTATTCTAGTAAAACATATACATAAAATTGTAGTCTTCAATCAGCAATATTCTATTTGCTCACTTATTATTATTTTTATCACTTATAATTTTATCCGGCCGCAAATTCATTTCAGTAACTTTCTAGTATTTCACTCTCATTGTTGAGGTCGAGGCCATAAGATAGCAACTTGCATGTTGTAGTAGCCCTAGTAGATTAAACCAAATAACTAATTACACTTGTTAACTGTTTTTTTATGATCCAACAAGTTCCAAAATTTCTCTTGTTCATAGTCACCATCATTAGATCAGATCTTGTGCTCTAATACCAGTTTGTAGAGGAAATATGTGTGACCCTAACCCCCTTTCTAGTGGCAGATAATGCTGCTCGTAACTGAGGACCTTGAGTATTCCTTAAAGGACAACTTCACGCCAAACATGAGTATGTTAGTGTATGAATCCCTTAAGAGGAAGGTTTACTTTGTTGGTATCTGTAGTGTAGTCAAATTTCTATAAACAAAAATTAATGTTTGTTATTCTTGGTTGGTTCTTACATATAATCTTGACATGCAATGTAGGTCCAAATCTTCCTTGTTAAGAGGCTAGTTTGACTTTCAAGCAAAGTCTCTTGTGCCATTTTGTAGTACTTGTAGCCACCTTGTGAGTCATGGATATTTATGAAATGGTACTTTTTAATCTGAAAACTAGTCCTATACACCAATATATGTCCTAAGGTTACCCAACTCAAGACTACTCTCATCCAATCACTCTTAACTATGAAGTATCTTAGCATGTCATAGTATATGACCCGTAAAACACATCTTTTTTGTTGATACATATGCATAAAACCTTAAACCTATCAAAGTGCGAATAGAAGCCAAGCTTCAATAATGCAGAGCAGAGTAACTCCTCGAGATTCAACATATCCTTCCTGCAACATAACCTCAAATATTGACAAAAATGAGTTAAATTGGAAAGTAAAAACACTACTTATTGTCTCAGATTCTCTTTGAGCCAATATATGATTTTAAACTTGTACCCCTTCTTACAAGCACACAGTCCTTGTCACAACCCTATTTTGTACATGCAAAGTAGGTAAACCTTTTTCCACCAAAGCTCACATATTTTGCTTCTCATATCTCACCCCCTCATTAAGGCTTGGTGGTGTGAGGGGCTCACACACTTCTGCACATGACAGTCCTCCATGATATAGCCACTCAGAATATATACCTTGTTCAACCGGATCAAAGAAACTTCCATAACTTGGTATACAAGAATTGAATCTCCCAACTAAAATATAATTTGTGTGCCACCCAATTCTAAAACTAATACATACTTCCTCTGTTCTGTTAATATTGCAAGAAGGAGGAAATTACGCATCCCAAAACACATTTTATATGCTAAATATCTACAATTATGTAAGAGTAAAAATTATAAAAAGTTGATATTGTGAAAGTATTATATGAGGCAAATCCAACAAGATCCTACTTGACTATATTTTGCTTAACGTATAACTCATATTATATGGTCAAACAAGAGTGATAAATAGTGCAAAAAGTCCATTGTTGCAATATTAATAGAACGGAGGAAGTATATTTTTATGGTATATATTCTTACAAAGTTATTTTTCCATGCACTTTTTTACATACCATTTTTTTTAGCTGACACTTGATAAGGAAAGATAGTTTGGAATTTTATCTCTCATGATCTAATAAATTCCAAACTAATCACTAACCTAAGTGGAGTGATGACCAAGGTCATATTGCCACAAGGATTCAAAATGCAATCACCTTAATTCATTTACTATTCAAGCCTACGCATTCTGTTTTTGTTTTTGATGATTAAGAAAGTTGAATAACAACTAACAAATAAGGCAGTTAAATAAATCTGAAGAATTAAAATACAATCAGCAATAAGAAAAAAAAAAAAACCTAGGGAAGGTGGATTAAGCTATTCACGAGAAAATTAACAATTAACGATGATTTAGTTGATCAAAGAGGTATTAAAGGGGTAACTTGTCACACAAGGTCACTCCCGCAGTCCTCACACACTAGATGTTCAAGCACCTAATTTCTATGGTCGGCATTAGCTATTAGCATTGTTATTAAAATCATAATTTAAATCTTAGAATCTTATGATTTTACTATACATGTATGTGATACGATTCAATTACGATTCTACTTAATTTTATATTTTTCTTAAGTAGCGAAATCCTTACAAGTTTAAAACATGCCTATTGCCTACAAAGTTATTTATAGATATATATTGTCAATTATCGGTTGTTTAATGATTAAAAAACTATTTTCTATTAATAATTAGGTCTCATAATTCAAATATATTTAATTAAATTTGGAAATGATGTCTTGATTACGATTCAATTATGAGAGCCCCTTCTAATTCAACGTAGAATTCTGATTTTGATAATTTTGGCTATTAGTTTAAGCAAACACACTAAACTAGCTCACGCTGTATAACTATTTTAATAACAGTAACTGTCAAGAAGTTATTTGGTCAAAAAGACCCCAAGCAACAAGGACATCACCAAATAGCTCGAGGTACAAAAGTATTTCAACTTAATCATATAAGATCATCATCAAGCATCACAAACAACCCATCACCCCCTATCCTAGCTAGAATCTAGCTGAAAGTAGGGATATTTACATCAAAACCATTGAAATCAAGTTACAATATAACCAACCAAGATAAACTAAACATGATTAATATAAGGTTAAAACACTAATCTTTGATTAACAACTATCAACTAACATCAACTAAGTAATAACGAATTGGAAAGCAAGAAAATATTCCCTCCGTCCATGAATTTTTGTCCCATTGTTACCATTGATCACGTGGGATCGTGTTGTATACGTCTCATTGCATATTTTATGAATATAAGTTTTTATATTTTTACGCGCATGAAAATAGAGATATATTTATTTTAAGACGCGTCTTGGAGACTTGGAGACCGTGAAAAGTATGATGGGGTAATTAAAAAAATAGGGACAGAGGGAGTAAGAATTATGATGAAGAAATTACTGAAATTTGAAGCTTAGTTGAATGCTGAAGATTTAACAATGGAGTTCCACTTTCTCACTCTAAAATACACCCTTAATCTAAGAAATTAATGTTAATAATCTGAATATCCCTTAATTGCATGACTTAAAGGTATATATACTCCCCTTTAATCCCCTATTCAGTGGCCCAAAATGGCAATTAAAGTCCCGATAGAGACCTAGTATAGTGGACACTCTGTGATACCTTTTTGATTTATCATTTTCTTTTTTTCTTCTGCTTTGTCTTTGATTGAATTATTCTTTTTTGCGTCAAACCTAGTTAAGTAAAAGCCTTAATAAATACGAAATATACAACATTCCCCTTGACCAAGAAACATAGTGTTCACTCAACCAGTAGAGTTTGATGTCTTCATGATGTTGTGAAAACAATAAAGTACCTAAATTAGTCTCTGAAAATTATCTCCTGTCTGTTTGCTCACAATTGTGCATGTCTTGCTGTTTTTCTAAAGCTTACAGGCCTCAAAAAGAAGTCAACCATATGCAAATGGGATGATCCAAATTGTACCCTTGTTGAAATTTCTGGGCTTGATGTTGGTTGGGGCCAGGTAACAATATTATAATCTGCATTCTGTTTTTTCTGATATTTTTCTTACATATAGGCTAGTTAACTGCTCTTCTGCTTAACTAATGTTTATTATTATTTGGAAAGATAGTGGGTTACCTCGTCGATTGACAATGGTGCATTTTTGTTTTGTTTTGTTTAAGATGTGAGGTTTAGGACTAATTATCTTGGAAAACCTTAGATAAATGGTGAATCAGGAAGAGGTATTTTCTAAGTGGCTGAGTCCAACTGCTTTTTGAATTCTGAAATACACATTTCAGATTCTTACAAACATTGGAACTCTATGGACGGAGGAAGAACAAAATTGACTTGTTAAGACACTTCTTGGGCACATGGGCAAGGAAAGACTATATACATGACCAGTGCTATTAGTCAAAGATCCAGTCCAATTTCATCCCTCAATTTTGAAGTTTGAGTTGGACTATTTTATTTCCTGGCATTAAAGATGGATCCCACGTGAACGTTATTTAGGTGTACACGTGTCATGTACTAGTGGAGTTTCCATTTCTGTGTATGTGGTGTATTTATGTGCCTAGGTAAATTGTGTTCATTTGCTAGGTGTACAAGTGTTTCATGGCAGATCATCTATTTACTATATGTACCCCATCCTTCGGTGGTTGGTTTGAGGTTTTGGTGGGTGCTAGGCGTTTCTGTGGGTGGCTGGTGGTGTTGGTGTGGCTTATGGGTGGGTTGGTTTAGATAGGAGGTATGGGTGATTGGGTGCTTGGGGGTAGAGTAGGGTGTTTGGGAGAGTAGGGATTCCGACTGGTTGATTCAATTTGAAGGGTAGGTTAGTAAATTTAGTTATTTAAGCTAAGAGTTAACATTATAACACCAAGGGTTAGCCATAAAATACTAATAAGAGCACACTAATTGGTTATGCAATACCATGAGGTCACTCGAAAAACTAAAAAAAAAAGTTTTTAACATATAGAATTTGCAATATCACGAGGCCACCGTGAAGAAATTCTCAATAACAATTGATAACCAAACACCATTTATCTCCCAAAACTTTGTGCAAAGGTAGACACCTTTATAGGATAAAGGGAGTAGGCTTCTTTATAGGTAAGTGGCATCACTGTTTGGGTCGTGGATCATGCCCCTTTCGAAATATGCACATCCAAACCACCTATTACTATTTAATTAATTTAAGCGCTGACAATCTATTTATTAAGGTTGGACCAGCATCTTATTCTTATGATTTTAGGCCTTCTTTCATTTCTCCCTAATAGAATTAGTTTTCAAGAAAAGTAATTGCATGATATGTTTGGATTAGTAAAAAGAAGTCCATGCTTCTATTGTTTTTTTTCTTTTCTTTCATGTTATCTTATAAGTGGAACTAATATCTCATATATTCTTTTGAAAGCAAGGCCTTTGTCCATCCACCTTAAAAAAAAATGAAGAAATTTAAGTTTATAAGCTCTTACAAGTTTGGATGAGGAAATCAGCTGGAAAAAAAAAAAAAACCTCTTAATCTTTAGATAAGTGACTCCCACTCCTGAATCCTATTAATTTGGCATGTGTTATACACTGAACTGTTTTCCTGCTATTTCTTTTTGCTACTTCATTGCATATCTTGTATTCTGTACAAAGCATCATTAACTCATAGTTTTTTAATTTCAGAAAGTTCCACTGAAATTTGACAAGGAGCAGAATGCTTGGATTTTGCAGAGAGAATTGCTGGTAAGTTATGCGTAGATATACCTTAATGCCAGCCTATGCCACAAGTTTGTTTTCTAATTTATATTTTGTCTTTCTTTCTTTTTGGAGCATCATTTTCCTTTCATATTGTTCTCTGTAAAAATTTCGATTTAATTACCTATCCTAATAATGGATATGGAAATAACTTGGATGATTATATTATTATCATTTCAATGAAAAAAGCTAGTTGCTACTGAAGTTTAACTACTAAATACGCGATCAAACGGATCTCCATGACATTCACTATCCCTTTTAACAGGAAGGACATTACGAGTACAAGTATATTGTTGATGGTGAATGGACCTGCAACAAGAATGAACTTGTCACTCCTACAAATAACGATGGTCATACCAATAACTATGTTGTGGTGAGTGTCAAAAATGATAAGAGTTTGATATTCTTGCTGCACACTCTTAAGATTCTTTTGTATACTCCGTAATTAGTATAATGCATTTCATCATGACCAATGAGAGGTTGGTAAACTAAGTAGTTTAACATTAGAAGCTAGATTATGTTTACTACCTCCGTTGCAAAATTGTTGCGTCATTTCTCATTATTTTGGGGGTTTGGGTGAGGGGTGATAAGCACAAAAATTAAGAAAGTAGGTAAAAGGTGAGAGGGAACCACAAATTTTTTTATTTGAATTACCCTCAAAATCCAAGTGCAAAAGAAACTCGGGAAAAGTTAGCTAGGGTAAATTTGATATCCGCAATGTAAAAAGCAATATTTGTGGAACTTTCAAAAAAGGCAAGGTTGCAATGTGATTTGTAACAAATGAAATATTGTTTTAACCAATGCACAATTAAAATACTCAATTACTCATAGTTAAACTAGTGTATCAGAGAAGGTAGAGAAGTAAATAGTAAAATCATTTCGTAATGGAGAAAATGTTTCAAGTGTCATTGAGGTGCCTAATGGCTGATGCCATTGTATTGAATAAACACCTTTGTTGCGCATTTAATTCGTTTTTTTTGCACTCAAATCTCTATCTGCAGGTTTCCGCTGATGATCCAGATAGTGATAGAGCACAGGTGAGGAAGAGGTTAACCGGGGAAGATCCAGATCTTACCACAAATGAACGAATCAAAATACGGCAATTTCTCGAGGAAGTCTCAGATCATGAATGATGTAAAAGGATGCAAATTAAAGTCAATGTGATAGTGACTTTAAGGCACATTATATACAATCGCAGCAATACTAGTAGTTTATACCAATACTGAAATGCCCCGCACTAGCTATTCAATATTTATGTTAATAATGTGGTTGATATATGTAAAGAACCTCTCGATGTAAAGTTGACTAATAAAATAATTTTTAAGCTATATGTGTGGGTTTTATGAAGCTTGGAGAATTGGAGGTTTGAGTTACATTGCAAGGAAAACTTGTAACATATTTAACATTATTGTCGATTATATCCTCTGTAGACATGACTAACTCAAGTAAAAACCATTGACATCATAATTGAACACGTCACACGTGTCACTTAGTTGAAAAACAAGAAACTCACACGAGTGACCTAAAATTCTAAGCTGACAAGCTTAGTTGATTGACAAGAAACTTGTTTCCTCTAGCTAGGATAATATACTTTGTATACTTTTGTGATCATTAGGGGTGTAAATGAACCAAGCTGATCAATAAACTACTCGTGTTTGGGCTTGAAGCTCATTCATGTACGTTTATATAATAAATGAGTCGAGCTTGAACAAATTTTGAAGTTCGTTTAATAAATAAGTTTGAACACATACATAGATATGCTCGTTCAGATAAGTTCATGAACAACTCGTTTATTTATGTTCATGAACTACTCATTTATATATGTTCATGAATCATTGATTATTTACAATTGTTAATTTAGTTATTAAATTTATAATTAAGATTCAATTATAATGCTTATTCAAATATCGTTTTCAAAAAAAAAAAAAAATTCAAATATCAAAAGTGATTTGGGGTATTTAATACCCCCAAGTGGACCAATGAGAGAGCAACACGTGTCGCCCTGGGAGGTGTCCAAATCGACCCTCCAGATGCGTGACATGTGTCACTCAAATATCCCTCCCTTGAAATGGCGGCCTTCAAGGCCCAAACTTTGAGGGCGCCGCAAAACGGCGCTGCCCTAATCCCTAGGTAATCAAACCCTAGGTAGGGCACACTTTCCAAGGTCCCTATAAATAGGGACATTCCCCTCATTTATGGGGGACGTTACCTTTTCCAATCATTACCGAGCTGTCGAAACAGACAACACTTGAGCTTAGAATCCGAGCAGATAAACTTAAATTCCGCGTTTTATTCCTAATCCGTACTAACTTAATCTTCGGAGGCGGAACACCGACCATTCGGTATTCTGTTTATTTTGTAGGTACAAGCGTTCTTGCTGAATCTAGTCTTGAGATGTAACTCTCCCAAGGGACACAAAAAATCCCGAAACATTTGGCGTCGTCTGTGGGGAGAGTACCTCTAAGATGGCTTCACAAGAGCAACCTGTGGACCATGACTTCAGGAAGAAATAGTGGTCTAGATGGACCATGACTCAGGTGACGATGGAGACATCGAAACCTATGTGGCCCCAGACGGGTCACTCATCTCTAAGCGCCTCCGTCACAAAGACAGGCGGGGGCGCAATGCTAACCAGGCGAGTCTTAGCAGGTCCCCTGGACCATCTAGTAAGCCTTTAGGGTAGCTATAGGCGTCGCTCGAAGTGCGCCTACGCATGTGTGAATATGCTTGGCACTCTTAGGAAGTGGGAATTGACGTATAAGATTAGGGACAAATAAAGTAGGGAGCCGTCAACAAGTTTTTAAGGAACTTGTAAACCGTTCACGGATCATAAAAGGCACCACGATAAGGGACAACGATAGGCAACAACGATTGACCCGTGAAGGTTACACCCCATTCATATGGTTCAGAACCACGAAAGGAGGATCGGGGATGATGGTACGAAGTGAGTCATGGAGTTACATTCGCCCGTATTGGCCTCTACTCGATTCTTATAGTGAAAAGTGTTTCCAGCGATCTCAAAGGCATACAAACAGAGATTCAATTCACTCTAAACTATTATTAAGCTAAATTGGTTTAATATTAATGCAAAATATAATTCTAAAATATTTGTGATCACTTGAATTAAACAATAAGATTAAAAAGGAACCTAAAACGGTTGTCCAAATTATCTTATTAGGCGTGATTTTCAATTACATATTCCCTTTAAACATGCAATATGGTGACCATAAAATATAATAGAATAAACATTAATATTGAAAGCAATTTAACAATAATTTGTTAGTCAAATCAAATATAAAATAACTTAATCATGATACTAGCAATATAAAATAAAATAAGAGTAATTAAATTAATTAATTACTCACATTCCGCGCGTTCCTTAAAATTGATACATCATGAATAAATTGTTAGTAACTTCAATAAAAATATAAATCAAATGAAAATTAAATTAAATAAAGGTAGATTTGATTTGTTCCAAACCCTCAGTTATTTATACTTTTTACGCCTTGGTTTAAGGACGGAACCTCGGGGTTAAGTATGGACTCCTTGGAGTGCTTAAGGGAAGAATGGTGTAATTAGGAATATAGGTTTAAGGCTTAGAATATGGGAGAAAGAGAAGAGAATGATTTTTGGTGTAAAAGAGAGAAAGAGAGAAGGATTTGATGATCAAGATTGTTGATCCTTGAAAAAGGGGTGATATGACCTCTATTTATAGAGAAAAAAGAGGGGTCGAAGAATTAAGATATGATCCGAATTAAATCAGAATAAAACTCGATAGACTGCAGTTTTTGCGGTTTTTGTTTTTATCATATCTTTTGATCCAGAAATTGGAATAAGATAAATAAGATATCTTTAGAAAGATCTTGAAGTCTACTTTCTAACCCAATTAGAATCGGATTAAAATATTTTATATAATAAAAGATATGGCCGAAATAGTGAGACGGTGTCAGTTTAAGATAGAGTTTGATATTTTATTCATATCTTTTCCGTTATAGCTTGGAATTGATATTATATTATATCATTGGAAAGATAATTTCAAGGACTATCCAACCATATAAAATTTGGATAAAAAATATGAGGCAAGAAAATCATATCTGACTATCTTTGAATGTCTTTCAATTCGGATAAAATTAGGACTTTCAAAAAAGGAGTTTTATTCAATTTCAAACTCTTTAATCTTATCGTTTCAAAAAGGATAATTAGGATCTTTTAGAAACTTATAGAAGTTTCTAATTAATCCTAATTGGTTTAGGAATTGGATTAAATCATTTGGACCCTCCACATGATCATTGGGTCGTAGGTAAGGTGGGCTTAGGTTCAGTTTGGGCTCGGCTTAATATTTTGGTCATAACTTATTCGTTATAAATCAGATTTGGGCTTATAATATATCGTTGGAAAGATATTTTAAAGACCCATTCAACTATGCAATCATTGAACCCAGATTATGGACCAAAATAAACTGGATTAAACGTTTTTATAAAAGGACACGAAATGCATGATTTTAAAGGACACGAAATGAATTATTTTGGGTTTAAAGGCACGAAAAGAGGAAAATAAGTTATGGTTTGGGGAAATGGGATAGGAGTTGGGTTGGTTTTATGAAATGGAAATATGGATTTAAGCACTCCAAGATTAAATACTCAACCCGACCAATAATGGCGGTGAAAGGTTGTTCATCATCGGACTTGGTTTTGGGGAGACATTTTTAGGTGTCTACAGTAGCCGACTGATCCCTCCCAGGCGGCAGGATCAGCAAGCCCCAATCACCCGCAACGAGCTCATGAAGTTCATGAGCAGCCTCAAGGGTGAAATTAAAGGTCTAATCAACAAGCGGACGATTGCTCCTAGAAAGGAACAATCGGCCACCAAGCCTGTTCAATCTGGAAAGCAAAAGTCGGTCCGGGACCGACAGCCGACTCCTCATCCTGCTTCAAAGGAGAAGGCTTGGCCCCAGTTCGACCTTTCAAGACTCTGTTTCCCAGAAACAGTGACAAGAAAAGCCATCCGACATGTACAACCGGATGGTAGCAAAAAATTCTTTCTTGATGCTCGTCAATACATCGACCAGCTAAGGAATCAGCAGCTGTCAGAGTCGGCTTCCACGTCGAATTATCACGATAGCTTTCAAAATACCTTTGTGAGGAATCTCCTTCAGTACAGGGGACTCCATCAAACGAACCCCTCGTACAGTCAGGGCCCCATGTAATCAACTCGGCGCAGTATATGGCACAACCATTATACCGACCGCTTGCTTTGCCCTACATCCAGCCTGCCTTCTTCGGAGGACAGGCGGCATATAGCTATCAGCCTTTGGACTGGCAGCTTCGGCTACAAAACCTTGGGGAACAACCCTTCTGCATTCTCCATGGAAATAGCTGAGGCCGAACAACCGACCAAGGTGAAAAATATAACGGTTGGAACCTATGATGGTACCTCCAAGCCAGAAGACCACCTCTTGGCATACACCCACCTCATGTACTTACAGGGGTTGGATGATGCCGCCTGGTGTCGATGCTTTCCAGCTACCCTGAAGGGCATAGCCCAGAAGTGGTTCGACAATTTGCCGAATGGTTTCATTAACAGCTTCAAGATGCTTGCGTTCTTGTTTGCTTCTAACTTCTCTATGAACATCCCTGCAAATAAAATGAGCTTTGATCTAGGCCATGTGCAGCAGGGAGATAGAGAGAGGCTGCGATCATACGTCAGGCGGTTCAATCTGGTGAGAATGCATATCCAAGGATTGTTTGACGAAGTAGCTTATACAGACTTTTTCAAAGGTCTGAAGGACGGGTCGACTTTCAAGTTCAAACTAGTCCACAAGAAAATCTTCACCCTCCAATGAGCACTGATGGAGGCGGACGCCTACATACAGGTGACCGAGCTCTGCTCTTCTAATAAACAATTAGACTCCAAGAAGTCTGACCGACAGAAGGAGAGTCGGCCTGCTCAGCCGTCTCTAAAAACAGAAGAGAGCAAAAAGAAAAAACAAATTTGGGTAGTTGATAACTCTGATCAGCCATCCCAGAAGAAAAAGAAAGAGTGGAAGCCATACGTTCCAAGGTACGAGTTCCACAAGGACAGCTACTCCATCCTCATGGAGATTGAGGATCGGCTGACTCTTGAGAAGCCGACTCCTATGAAAGGTTGCACTGAAAATCGGAACAAGAACAAGCACTGTCACTATCATGAGGATGTCGGCCATGACACAAACGACTGCTTCAGCCTCAAGCGGATGCTTGATCGTCTGGCCGACAAAGGAGCGCTGAAATCCTATGTGAAGTCCAAAGTGACTTCAAAATCAAATATGGGGTAGTCAAGCAAATAGACGCCCCATCCTTCTATCAGCTTTGAAACGGATGAGGAACTGGT